CACATGAAATACAACAAAGGAGACCCTATTCTTGGTAAAAATTTCTTCTTCCCTGTATCTAGCTGCCAAACGACAAGTACCCCTTCCTTTCCCCCTAAAGAGTCAGAAAACAAACGCAATACAAAGTAAGAACTCAGGAAATTTCTTTGGAGAATTCTCACTGTTCCCACATAGTGTGGACATAAACATGACCTATTACATATATATTGGGTGATTAAACCAATGTATATTAGTCCAGCTGCCTATAAACACAGACACACGCACACATGGTGAATATGAGCAGAAAATAACCCAGTCGCACCTGAATACAAATACGCTCCATCGGAAGAGAAATTAAGGACATTTACTCCAGCAGAGTGCCAATGCCACGTAGTGCAAGATTCAGCATCATCTTCATCTCTCACCCCAGGGTTGTCCACATCAACCATTGCTCTCAATTTTTTCATTTGATTACCCAAGGCAAGTTTTCTATTACCGAATCCTCTCCAAATCAACACTCTTCCAGTTACATCTCCAGCAGCTATAATTCTCTCGGTGGGATGAAAAGCAAAAGCATTGATAGCCTTTGTGTGATGTAATGTCATCTTCCTGGGAAGATCATTCCTTGAACCTCCAGAAGGAACATCCCATACATGAATTTTACGCTTGTGACAGATTCCGAAAAACCCGCCCGACGGACTGATAACTATAGATTTTGGGTCTTCCATCTACAAAAAGAAGATAAGCAAATGATTTGAGCTAAACCAATCAAATTTTAAGACACAAGTTTGGTCCATCCATTAAAGCTAACCTCTTTCAAAGTGTCTCCGCGAAGACGCTCTTTAGCAAGGTTAAATCTTCGAACGTGTCCACGCAACTCTTTGGACCCTTGTTTGGCCACACCCGTATCCTCAACAGACACATAAGCAACCATCTTACCAGATTGCTGAGGTTCACTCAAAAGAGAAGGAATGACCTACAAAAACAATAAGATATAGATTCAGGAAATACAAAACTGAATCACAAATACACTAATTAGCCAAAGTAATCAAATTCTTAAATACCATAGAGTAAATCGGAAGTTTAACATCAATGGTTTTCAAAAGCTCAGGTCCAGAGAAATCCCAATGCCTAATTGTACCATCGATAGACGCAGTCCAACAATAACAGATGACTTTTTGAGCCGCGCTCGATGCAGGAACAACAATCAGAGTCGTCACTGGAGCTGTATGACCCTCAAGCGAAGTAATCTAAAAAGAAAGGAAAATCTAAAGATTAACGAGATTCGAAGAGAAAGCTTGACGAGATTTCGAAGAAAAAATTGGTAACCTGTAAGCCAGTGGCGACGCTGAAAACGGAGACAGTGTTCCCGGTACAGACAAGAAGCTTCTTAGCGTCGTTAGAGAAGGAAGGAGGTGATGTGACGTAGCTTCTTCCGCCGCGAATCATGGTTTTGTTATATCTCCGGCGAAGAAGTGACAGAGAGAGGCGGAGATTTGGGGAAGAAGAAGCAAATTCTCTCCTTTAAAGCCCTAACCAAAACCCTTCGTCTCTGATTTATTTTTTTCAATTTTAGTTACGTTCCAATTTGGTTTTTTCATTTAATCGGAAAAATATAAAAAACGTTCAAATGTCGAAGTGGGAATCGGTTATAGTTGGGCCTTAAAGGTCCAACTAGTTCTTTGTTCGTCTACGATGAATAGTGGAATAACGAAATGTCGAAATAGCAACATTGTGGTTTGTCGAATGGGAGATAAACCACATGAACGAAATTCACAACATATTTGCCAACAATCAAGAAGAAGAAAATTGGCAGTGCAAAGATGCTGATTAGCACCACAAAATCCAGATGGAGTCATTGATGAGACTCAAAAAAACATGTAGAAAAAAGAGACAAGAAACAAGAAAAGGAGACGGCCGAATGTGAGACCTTCTTCTGAGTTGGTAGCAGGAGAGAAGCCACCTTCGGGAGTGCTTGTAGTGAGGACAACAACAATCCAATTATTATCAGAACCAATACCAATGCCAGTGAACTTAGAATCATTAAGGTTCTTGGAGTACTGTGACTTTGTGAAATTGTTCAAGACAAGGAGTGCATCAAGGCTAGGAACACAAGCTGGCATTATCACACCGTCTCTTGTCGCAGTTATGTTGAGATGGCATTTCTTGAGGAGGTTAGGGTAGTTTGGGAATCCAGGTTCGGTTCCAGGGACTGAAGCTGAGCCAGTGGTGTTTGTGCAGGGTTGGTTCTTGAATTGGTCTGCGATTTCTTCAGCGAGACATTCTGCGTTTTCGATTTTTGTAAGTGTCGTTAGGTTTAAGGATGTTCTGTAGCTGTTGATGCCTGCAAGAAGATTGTCTTCCTCATCTGTCGAATTCAGAACACAAAAGCAATCCACAAATTAAATCGCAGGTAAAATTAGTAAGAAGAGTCAATCTATTATGATCATGATTCGAAATCTAGCGGACAGAGAGGCGTGAATCAAACAGATGTGGAGATTTGAAGAGCAGATCTACAGTGTCGTCGTCGATTACACCTGAACGCAAAAGTCTAGAAGATCTATGTTCCGGAAATGAGAGAGATTACTTACCGATGTCGGAAAGAACAGGACGATAAAGGGAGAGAGTGACTGAGAGGAGAAAGAGTAGGTGGAGCTTGGAAATCGCCATTGACGAAGAGGTTCTTGCTTCTACTGACTTTTTTTTAGCGAAGAATCTGTCAAAGTCGCTGCGTCGGTTCTCTCTCTTCTTGTCCACTCGATTTTATGACACGTACACAGTTAACGAACAAGACAAAACGTTGTCGTTTATTTTATGACAATAGCTGATTTGTCTTCTGTTTTTTTTTTTTTTGAAACTATTATTAGTTGATTTGTCATGAATATCTTTTTGAAAATGAAACAATATTTTGATAACTGTGTTTTCATTATT